GCCGGTGATTTAGCTCAGCGGTTCGGTGGCCTGCTTTGCAAGTGCAAGGACCGGAGTTCAATCCCCGGTACCAAAAAAAAAAAAAAAAAAAAAAAAAAAAAAAAAAAAATAGTTAATAGCCCTTTCATTAGAAAGGTGGACACCGGCAGTAGAAATATCCTAGCCACTCCTTCCTACCTTCTTTTCCCTTACACATTCAACACACATTTACCAAGCAATGACTCTACCCCTGGCATCATGTAGGCAGTGGAGAAACTGTCAAGTCCCAGAGAAAGCTGGGAGGAAAAACTCCAAGAAGACACTAACTGGACTTGCAATGGAGCCGGTTCACTCAGTTAAAGCCAGGTACACACCAGTACTGTCCAGGCCCCTCACGAAACACACAAACAGGTGGGCAAAATGTCTGTCTTCAACATAACCACCCTCTAGGTAAGAAAGGACCCAGTCAAGGAGGCAGCAATAAGGAGAAAGCTGAAGCTGAGAGCAAAGGGCAGGCTTGGGAGTGTAGGGAAGGTGGTATTGGTCTCAGAGGAGTGAGGCAGGGAAGAAAGAGACACCTACTTCAGAAGGTTTTCTGCTCCTGTCCTCATCCGCACAGCCTTCAGGATCTGTTGATTCAAGGCAGCTCTTTGATTCTGCAGTTTGCTCCGGCCAGTCTGTGCAAGGGGATTACATCCCTAGGAGAAAAATAAAAGATGCTCCTTTAGAGGTGAACCACTCTAAAAATGACAATAATGTTTAAAAGAACAGATGTTTAACAAAAAGACAATCTCTTCTGAAAATAAAAGTCAAAGTCAATATAGAAAATAAGTCATTCATATTAATACAACTCCAAAACAGCCACTGTGAATTGGTCTTCTTCCTCCCAATCTATATTAAATGCATGTTGTTATTCTCCACTCCTCAGCTGTGTTAGGAGTCCCCAAGACCACCCGGATGTTGAGATATGTGAGAAAGATTCACAGGACCTGGTATATAGTTGTACTTGTGGCTATGATTCATCATACCGGCTTAATAAGGATGCAAACATAGCTGGACAATAAGGAAGCACAGAAGCTAGAGGAATTGAGTGTAGGTTTGCCTTTCACACTGTCTCCCACCCATGCTGAGTCACAAAGGACACCCTCTTCCCTAGCACCAGAACTCCAGCAACTCTAGCTGGGCAAGGTGGCACACACCTATAACTCCAGCACTCTGTAGGCTGAGGCAGGAGGATTGCAAATTTGAGCCCAGGCTGGGCAACTTAGGGAAACCCTGTGTCAAAATAAAAAATAATTAATCCCGTACTCAGGAAGCTGAGGCAGGAGGATTAGGATGAGCTGGAGGCCAGCCTGAGCTATTTGGCAAGACCAAGACCAGCCTGGACTATATAGTGAGACTTTGTCTCAAAAACCAAAAAATAAATAAATAAAATAAAAGAAGGGCTGGGAGCGTAGCTCGGTGCCAAGGTCCTAGGTTTAATTCCTAGTACCAAAGAAATCAATAAAATTTTATTAGACACAGCAACTCATATGCAATGTCTCTTTCCATATTAGCTCATTAAGAGAATTAACACCCAGAACTTGTACTAGGAGCTGATCACATAAGCATACTCTGCCTAGCAAGTACCAAAGTTTCAGGCTCCCAGAAGGAAAGCAAGTCTTCACAAACCACGCTCTTCGCACCACCAGTCTAGGCACAGTGAAGCACCCTTACCAGCTAGGGAATTGTGAGAACACTCCAGGGGATGAGTCCCAAGAAGGCAGCCAGGCCAACCTTGCCAGCAGGTCTTTTTGTTTGGTTTGGTGTTTTTGGCTTTTTGAGACAGGGTCTCACTATGTAGGTGAGACTGCCCTGGAACTCACTATTTAGCTCAGGCTGGTCTCAAACTCATAGCAATCCTCCTTCCTCAGCCTCCCTGAGTGCTAGAATTACAGGCATGCGCCACCACACCTGGAGGCCAGCAGGTCTTACTAAGGAGAGCAGCCTCAGGCCTGCCGTGCAAGCAGCACAATGGCAATACGGCACATACAGCTTGTCATGTTTTCTCACTTAGTGCTCCATCATGAGATTCTCTTCTATCACAAAGTGCTCCTCAGCTGGGTGCTCTGGGAGGAAGAGGCAGGAGGACCATAAGGCTGAGCTCAGCCTGGGCAATTAGTGACTTAGCAAGACCCTGTGTCAAAATAAAAAATGAAAAACAAGTTGGGAATGTAGGTGGATGCAAAAAAGGCAAAAGAGAAGTATTTTTGGTTTTTTGTGTGTTGTCCTATATGAACTTGGGCCTTACATGTGTCACACAAGTGTTCTACCACCTAATCTACACCCCCTAGTCCCATCTTTTATTATTATCATTATCATTATTATTATCATCATCATTATAGCTACCTAGTGTGTATGGTATCTCCCTGTATTTCTGAACTGCATTTCCCTGATGATGCCGAACACCTGTTCACTGGTGTCAGGTGGAGGTGGAGCTCAACAGGGGAGCACTTACCAAGCATGTGTTCAATCCCCGGCACCATTAAAAAAAGAAAAAATATTCCTCTGCTTGTTTTGGAGGCTACGGCTTAGGGCCCAGACTCTAAAGTGCCAAAGCTAAGAATCCCTGTCTCCTTGGTTCTTGTCTGTGGAATCTGGTGGGGTATGTGGTAAAACTTTACATGGGCTTATTGACCTGCTCTGTAGATTTTCTCTGGAGAAATATCAAGTCAGACCCTTTGCCCATTTTTAAACTGGATTATCCATCTTTCTATTTGTTGAGATCGAAAGCATTATTTCATTCATTCATTCATTCATTCATTCATTTATTGGTACGGGGGATCAAACCCAGCACCACTGAGCTAAATCCCTGGCCCAAAAGCATTTTTTTTTTGGTACGGGGATTGAACTTGGGTCCTTGTAAGACAGGCATTAGAACCACTGAGCTAAATCCCCAACTCCCAAAAGCGTTATTTTTAATGACTGCAAAAGCAAGCATCCCATTCTTCCACGCTGCATGCTTTATTATCAGTGAAGGTAAACACTGTTTTTCCTATCACTTAGATTTCTTCTTCACCAATTATTTGCTTGTTTTCTTTCTGCCCATTACAGTATTTACTGAAGTATTTGAATTACAATGTTTTATGCTATAAAGTTTAAAATCAAAGTTTCATTTATGCCTAATGGTGTTCTCCCCACCCAGACAGACAGAAGCCTGGAATCAGGACCACATTCCTCTGAGGCTTATCTGCAGGACCTGCCCACTGCGCTACTCCCTGGGAGTGGCCCAGAGGGCTGGATTCAGGAGGCTGCCTTAGCTATACACACTCCTAGCCTCCCTACCAGGCCTGCACCACACCCAGGCTTACACCCTAGGGGAGAGGGGTGGCCTATCTGTGGCCCCACTTTCTTAGGGGTCCCTGTATCAGCAGCCTCTGGATTGGCTGTCAGACATGAGTTACATTTCTCCTACAGAGATTTCTCATTCTCATTCCCCAGCAGGTTTCATTATTTTTCCCCCATGCAGGCCCCACCTAGTTTTCCCTGTCTTATGTGGACACTTTCCCCTAAATTCAAACACACTGTATAGACACTAGGAATCCGACTTGGAATGCATCGAGAAGTTAGGACTGTATCTCCCCACCCCACCCCCACGCCCCCATACTGGAGATTAAACCCAGTACGTTCTCACTGAGCTATATCCTTAGCTCTTTTTTATTTTTACATTTTTGAAACAAGGTCTCCCCAAATTGCCTAGGTTGGGCTCAAACTTGATTCTCCTGCCTCAGCCTCCCAAAGTGCTGAGATTACAGGCCCGCATCACCCCGCCTGGCTAAACCATTAAATGATACCTGATTTAAAATTAAGATCCTTTTCCAGATATAAGATAAAAATGTCTTTAATGTTAATTTAATACTAAAGGGTTACAATCATTATCAGTCTCCGTTTCTCTCCTGAAAATTACTATGAAGTGCGGTCTGATTTGACCAAGTTACCTGGTTCACTGATGCTGTGTTTGATTTTACAAATAAGCCTTAACAACTAATCCCATTATGTACATTCCAGGAGATCAGATAAGCAGCCATTCCAGCACAGGATAAGAACTTTTTCCTGCTTCTAGACTTTAACCAACTTCTGGAATTGCGATTCCCTAAGCAGCCCACGGTGGTGGGGTCAAGTTTCTAGGTAAGACATAGGAATTCCCAGGTTAGATCTGACTGAGTAACTGGACCCAAAACTACATTACATCTTACTGACAGGTAGGAATGCTGAGCCCTGCTGAGAATGACAAACACCCACTGGGCAGCCAAGAAACTTCCCTGAGAGGTAAGTCTGTGGAAGACACCCAGAAAAACCCCCCCTGGAATCACCAGGGGTGCTGCGAGTGGGCTTCCTCCCACAGTGCTCACCCACCCATTTCTCCTGCCTGGTTTTGTCTAATAGCAAGGCTTCCAGACCAACCCCTGCAACTCAAGAGCAGTGACGCACTCATGACAGGACATGGAACTGCTCAAAACAGGAAAGATTTGTGCCAGGGAGCATGGAAGCAAGTGTCACCGCAGCATGGCCTGCAAACCAGGGCCACTCACTGAGCTGTCCTGGCCTCATAGGTCACTGCTGACAAGGTCTCACAATGAAGTGAGCCTTTCTTTACATAAAGTCTACTTGGTTCCCTGAGCAGGATGTTTGGGCATTAGTTTGGCCCGTCTTGAAATCTGGAAGGATGGTCTGACAGCTCTCACCCAAGAAAAGCCAAGTACTGAGGAAACTCTCAGCACCACTACTAGCTTGGTGGGTCTCTGCTGGAGTCAGACACCCATATGGACCCCAGTGCAGCATCTAGGAGCCCACGGTCTTGGGGCACAGAGGTTAAGCGAGTTATTAGATACCTCCCTTAGCTCTCTGATGGTTGTAAGGCAGGCACCGCAGCAGCAATGCGTAGGGGTACTGGGGCAGCTCAACTCCCAATCCCAGCCACACAGTCACATACTTCCTGGCTAAGGACTGGCAGCATCACCCCACATCCTTTGGGGGACAGTGATCCACATACACTCTCCCACCTCACGGTCCACGTCGGTCAGAGGTGGTAAATCCCTGTTGATCTCCTTTCGAAGAGGAAGAACATCTAACTCATACCTGGCCAGTCGGAAAATCAAGCCCCTGGCCCTGAAACTGGTTCAAGGATAAGCACATGAGGTAGGGTAATCAAGCATAATCAGAGCTCATCAAGAAGAGGCCCTCCCTAGCTAGCCTGGAACCTAGGAAGAGTCAGACCAGGCAGCCACATTACCACTGGTGAGGGAGCATCTATCCAGAAATGGAACCAACCCAGGAAAAACAGACCCAAATAGCAGCTCTGGTGACTCCATGTAAGTTTCTGATCAGCTGGATCAGAAGCTATTCCTCTGGACTTCTCAGTTACAGAGCTAATTCATTCCCTTCCTTGCCTAAGCCATTTTTCAAGTTGAGGTACACTTTAGGTATTAAAAAAAAACAAAACACAGCTTTTAAGCATATAGTTCAACCAATTTCGACAAATGTATACATTCATAGAACCACCACGGCCATCAAACTATAGAACATTTTCATCATCCCTGGGCCACCAATACTCTGATTATCTATCACCATAGGTTTCTGCCTGTTCTAGACCTTTATAAATTGAATCAGATATCATAGAATGTATTGTCTGTGTCTGGCTTGTTTTGCTTAATATGGT